CAACCTATTTGTTTTTAGTAACAACTTATTATGAGGTGGTTACTGTTGGCTGGGTACTGTACTATTTAAATTGTATAATTTTGCTTACCACTCATACATTGCATTTTTATTTATAGCTGTTTCAAATAATAGGAATAAATTCTCTTTGCATTATAACTATCAGTGTCTTCATTATAAAGACATTATGCTTAAATAGTGTGTGGGATAATTGATTGCAAAATTCCTCTGATTTGGGGGTATATAAATATGCATCAATTTCCTTTTTCCAGAATTTGTGACTCTTGGGCGGTGCATTTATTGGTATTCTCTCCTTTGTTGCAGGCCTGTCAGAGTAAATGGGTCCAGTAATTGGAATGACTCCAGATAAGAGAGCCGAAGCCCCAGGCTCCGAGAAGGGGGCGGGACTCAGCCAGGTCTACAGAATGGGAAGCTTGCCGGAAGCCGTCGATGCTGCCCGGCCGAAGGCCACTCTCGTGGGCAGTGAGTCAGCAGATGACGAACTGACAAACTTGAACTGGCTTCATGAAAGTACCAATCTGCTCACCAACTTCAGCCTGGGCAGCGAGGGTCTCGCGGTGGCGAGCCCGCTGTACGACATAGAGGGAGGCGATGTGCCGTCCCGTGGGCCATCCTGCTGCCAGAACCCAGAGAAAAAGTCAGCCTCCTCCAAGCCCCCGTACTCCTTCAGTCTTCTCATCTACATGGCTATTGAACACTCTCCAAACAAGTGTTTGCCGGTCAAGGAGATCTATAGCTGGATTCTGGACCGCTTCCCGTATTTTGCTACAGCACCGACGGGGTGGAAGAATTCTGTTCGCCATAATCTGTCCCTGAACAAATGTTTTCAGAAGGTGGAGAGAAGTCACGGCAAGGTCAGTGTTTATGAACATGGCTGTACTTAGTAGGGAAGCTAAGTGGACCCTTAGAACCTGGGCCAGTCAGGGAAGACAAAGTCAAGTCAGATTACTTTGACATTAATATTAGCGCATCTGATTTTACCTGAGGTGTTTTACAGTGTACCTATGGATAGAAATCTAGCAGAATTATGTTTAATGTACTGTAGTTACCTAGATTATGCATTTCAGTGTTGCAGTGTCTTGTTCTTAGTTTTTTAGTACTCCTTAATTCCTGTTGTTCTATGTGACAGCTGCCTTATAACGTGTAGACCATTTATATTAATGTAAATAATAGATCTAAGCTTGCCTTTACAGTATGCTTTGAGGAAACAGATTTTCCATCAGTAGGCGCAGCAGTGCACTCCGCGGGCCGGTCGTGCAGTGCGCACATTCTCTACAGGGAGAGCACAGCAGGGCAGGGCGGGCAGGTCACGTGCATATGAAGGAGGGGGAACATTATGCTTTGTTTGGATTTCACTTTTGAGGCCAAGTCAGAAAACGTTTGGTTTGGTTTGGTTTGGTTTGGTTTGGTTTGGTTTGGTTTGGTTTGGTTTGGTTTGGTTTTTTGGGATAGGGTCTTGCTGTGTAGTTCAGCCTGGCCTTGAGCTCACTACATAGCCTAGGCTGGCCTCAAACTCACAGTGAACCTCCTGCCTCAGCCTCCTGAGCACTGGGATGACAGGCACGTGCCACCACGCCTGGCTAAGTCAGAAAACGTTAAAACAAAGGTACGTTGAGACTTTCGTTCGTGTTCCTTGTGACAGTGGGAATGGTCAAGCGGTAATGTCCTAGGCAGCATAAATTCCTCTCCAAAGGGAGAATTAAATAACGTGCAGATGGGATTAGTTCAGTGAGGGAATGGGATGTGGACAGTTGAGCTGCCTGCCTCATATGTAAATCCACTGCCTTATTTAGAGTCTTACCCAACCTCCCACTGCATCATGGGGTAAGATCAGCTTTAGCAGTTCTTTCTTTCCTTGATTTGTATTATTCTGCAGTTTGCTCTTGTTTGCCCTGACTCCATCTTTTTCTTCCACTCTTAACCTTTTCAACTTTAGTGCTCTTTACTACTTTGCCTTTTTCGTTTTTTAAGGGGCTTTTGTTTGGTACCGGGAATCGAACCCCCGGCTTCGTGCTTGCGGCCGGTGATGCACCATTGAGCTGTGTGCCCAGCCCTCCTTCACCTTCTGTGTGGTTCAGTGTTTTCGTGAGTAATCGCCTCCATTCCCATGGCTTCGTGTACCGTCTGGATTCTAGCGACTTCCACAGCTTTCTTAAAGTTCAAGCCTAAACTTGCAACTAATTGTTAGATCTAGAGGTTTCTCAGACTCAGTTTATACAAAATTGAATCTTGTTTTCCTTTCTTATCTCCTAGGGCAGTTGTGGCGAACCTGGGGTATGCGGCTTGCAGCCAGCAGTTTGTTAGCATTGAAAACCCTTGAAAGGTTCACCATCACTGTCCTAGGGCCTATCTGGAGTTTAAGGTAGAACTGTGAGTCATCATGGGTATCTGCCTTTCACAGTACCCAGGTATTTAAATGTTAAATTTGAAGGAATTTAGAGATTATCCTGATGAACTTTCCGCTTTGTAATCAGGGAAATGAGACTCTGAATGAGTCTGGACTGACTGTAGTCTGAAAAGCTGAAAGTAGCACCTGAAAAACGTGGTACCTGGTGACGTCCGTACATATCTAAGAATTATTATTTTATTCTGTCCGTTTTCTTTAGTTTCTACTGCAATGTTGGCCTCGTTCAGCTCTTCCTGATTTCTCATCTGATTGAACTGTAATATGAATGTACATTAATTGAGTCAGGCTCAGCTTGGAGGCACACACCTGTAAGCCCAGCCCTCTGGGAAGCTGAGGTAGGGTGGCAAGTTTGAGCCCAGCCTGGGTAATTTAGCAATTCTGAAACCGTGTCTCAGCATGAAAAACGTGTTTAAAGGGGCTGGGAATGTAGTTCAGTGCAAAAGCCCCGGGCTCAGGCCCTAGTAGGTGCAGTGGTAGGGGTGTGGGCGGATGGGTGGGGTCAGCATGGAGGGTTGGGGTCGGAAGTTCCTGGACTCAGGTGTGTAATTTGAAGGTAGTCTGTTTTAACTTCATTTTACTTCGCTTTTGTGACTAGTGAACTTAATAATGTATGATACAATTCTAAATAAAAGCTAGACGTCTTGTTACAGTTTTCAGGGCTCCCCCGAGTTTGTCCTCCGGCACCTGCCCTTCACTAGACCAGCAGCTGTTCCGTTGCGCTGCAGACAGGCGTTGCTCATGTTGTTCCGTCTAATTCCCTGGAGTTCCCCATTCCCCAGAGCCCGGCCGCCTCCCCAGCACTCGCTTCCTTCGCACATGCATTTGGTATTCCCGCGACGTTTTGCTCCTTTAATACAGTGCGTGCTAGCTGTGTTCCAGTCCGTGTCTGCACCAGGGCAGTGCGGACTGCGTGTCACACGCTCGCGGGGGCCCTTGCTTCAGTTGTCATGGAAATAAAACGCAGCAGCAGCACAGATGCATCGCGGGAAGCAGAGAAGATGGAGAAGGGACCTGACACGGCTCTCAGAGGCCGGGCTGGCCCGCAGCGAAGGAGGGTCGGGGCGGTGAGGGAGGGCTTCCGCTGAGGGGAAGGGCACAGGCACCGCGCCGGTCTGTGGGCGAAGGGGAGGGGTCGGTGTTACAGGGCTGCTGCGGTGGGCGACAGTCTGGTTGGTTGTGCTCTCAGGTCTGGTTTCCGTGGGCTGATGGTTTCTTTCTTTTTTTTGGGGGGCCCCCAGTGGAGGTTCTGCAGGAACGCTGGCCCGCTGCAGGGCAGCGGCGCTGACCGCCCACTTGGAGGTGCCGGTTCCCAGCGCGAAAGCAGTAGCTGAGGGTCCCTGCAGAGCTTTATTTTGCTGTCCTCCGTCGGGAAGGGGTGCGGTAGGGTGCATGCGTGTGGGGTTGCGAAGCCCTTGTTACCAGGTCTTGGACAGCTGCTCCCACAGTTAACGTGCCTGTGTGTGGAGCCGAGCAGGGACCTCACTCAAAGTTTTAAGATAATAAAGGAGACGCATTCACAGTCACTAATCGCCCACTGGGCATCTGTCGGCCCAAGTGAATAGTTACTGCTTTTAAGCCAAAGCAGCTAAGTCCCTGTCTCAGAGGAAGACATAAATCGAGCTTTTACTTTGTAACGGGTTGAGGGCTTGATAGTTTGTCCTGTGTCCCTCTGGGATGGTCGCTCAGTTTTGTTTTCTCACGTGGTTCCTGTGTGGAGGCACTTGAGCTGGGTCACCGGCTTTGGTGACTTACCTGGGTCTGAGGTGCATCAGACAGTTGGGGGCGGGGCGGGGAAGAAGGCCCCAGTGCGGCGTGAGGGCGCAGGGCCAACGGCCTGTGTGCCTTGGGTGGCTCTGTCTCGCCGGGCCAAAGATGCACCGCCGCAGTCACTGGGTTATCTGCAGTTCGTCCCCTAAGGCTGTGGGGTGATCCCAGGTGACCTGAAGACCCCACCCTCCCTCCAAGCACGGGAGTGTTCCCAGGCGGGTAGAGACGGTGGTCCGTCCCCCTAGATTGAGAGAGAAGTGTTCTGAGAAATCTACAGCCTTTTCAGAAGCTCACCTTTTCTCTTTTCATGTATAATTTTATTTCATTTTACTTAATGGTAAGCTGTGGATGGACATTCAGGCTTCTCATTTTTTGTTACAAACACTGCTGCAGTGAAAATAATACATACACTTTCTGCTTGTGGTCTGCGTTCTTCCTGAGGCTACGTTTCCAGTCAGATTGCCGGAGGGAGGCGGGCGTGGCGATGCACACCTGTGATCCCAGCACGCGGGAGGCTGTGGCAGGAGAGTGAAGCGCTGCGCGTGGTGGGTTCCAGCCCGGTGTGAACATAGGCGCCCCCCAGTTGTTCACAGTAGTGAACACACATTTAAAAGAACGTTTTTGTCTTTTTGCGACAGGGTTTCACTGTGCAGTTCAGGCTGGGTTTAAACTCACTTTGTAGCCCAGGCTGGCCTCACATTTGCAGCAATCTTCCTGTCTCAGCCTCCCACGTGCTGGGATTACAGATGTGCACCACCAAGCCCTGCCACATTAATGATATACGTCCGCAGTTTGCCTTTCAAATGGTACACAATACGTTCTGCCTAACTGTTTTTCCATATCAGACTTTCTATACTTCAGCCAGTGCTGGGCAGTGGCTTGTTTTAATCTTCAGTGTGATGAAAATGAGCCTTACGATTCTTCCTCTCCTTCCCTCCCTCCCCTGGTAACCCCTCCCTTCCTCTGTCTTTTATTTCTTCTCTCTTTTTTCTCCCTTCTCCTCCAGGAGGGCTGAGCCACTACATCCTTTTTATTTTTTTCAACCCTTTTTATTTTTTTACTTTGATTAGGCTGACTTTGAACTTACAGACCTCCTGCCTCAGCCTCCCAAAGGCTGGGGTTGCAGGTGTGCACCACCATACCTGGCTATAATTATATTTATTTGTTTATTCAAGTTAGATATTTTCTGTTGGCCTCTAGTTCTTTTGTCATATGAATTAAGACATTATTTCTAGTCTGTCATTGCGAGTTAGGTAAATTGCTAAGTAATAGTAACAGCTACAATATTGAGCATATAACACACCAGAGATCTATGTGCTTGCCTATTTTACTGTACTCTTCTGAGTATCTATTGACGTATTCTCCCTTAGTTGTAATTTAGTAGTTGAGTTTAGTAACACTACTGCTAATAATAATGATAGCAAAGGCTCAGTTTTCATATGCTACTCCTTCCTCTCAATATTTTATATTATCAACTTGGTACACATAATAATAACTCTGTGAGGACAGTACCCCAACAGCGTTAATGTGGAGAAGAACCACGTACTTAGCCCAAGGCACAGGAGTTGGGATGTGAACCTAAGGAGTCTGATAGCAGAGCCTGTACTCTGACACATGTAACATAGAGGATGAACAGGGAAAAGTTGTTCAGTCTAACTGATTAACCTCTGTCAACATCGA